GACGTGGCCACGCCAACGCCATCTTGTGCAACCATATGGGTGCGTGCGTGAAAAAACGCAACCTACCATGCAAACAATGGTTTCGTACAAGATACAAAACACGCGCGCGTACGCATATGCGCGCATGGCAAGATACGAAGTTGAGTGTTGAAGCTCCGCTCAAAGGATGTATACAACCACCGCGGACAACTGGCATCCGTCGTTTGAAACGATGCGATAGGATTCACTTAGGCACGAACAGACACTCGTGCGCGGTACTAAGAGATTGGACGGCTGTTGGTCGTATGACACCGGGATAGAACCAATGTCAGGTGTCCATTTTTTATACATATGGGCAGAGTGCAAATACATTAGTGGCTCAAGTGATGGATGTAATATCATCGATGCGAATGAACCGATAGAAATGTAGAACGTGATGAGATTTGACGCATTTCGAGTGACAGCAACGGTGACCTCAGCACTACCGATAGTCAAGTGATAACATCATGTGTGAGTCCAAGCCGCAGGGTTGACACATCCATCAGAGCTATAGCTTGCATAGTTCATAATGAATAATAAAAGTAATAAAAGACTTAGGGAGCAAATACGCTTAACACGTTTTGAAATACAGCCAATCTCCTGCTATGCCGCACACTTCGGTTAATCGAAAAAGTGGGTAAATTCCAGGAACTGCACGTTAGTCAGTAGTAGATGCTATCTAGTTGTGGGAAATCGATACGAAAAAATAAATCGGAACCATAAAAGGTTCGTTAATTCCGTTGCTGTTCATAAGAATAATCTATTTATTTAAAACTGAATTATATATACCGTCCTGCACATCCATTATGTATCAAGGAAATTAAAACCATTTATGATGCCCTCAGTTTCATATCGGTACATTGCATGTGGTATTCAGCTCTTTTCAGTTCCAAGGGTCTCGTTATTCCGAAACTACTTACCTTTCCAAAGGGGATTTTATCTGACCCAATTATTCCATATTTATTCTAGATATTCCTCCATCCCGTTGCAACATTAGGCTAACCACAGAAGCGATTATATGACGTCCGCCATAATATACCACTGTCTTAGTTATAATAACATTATTAACTCATTCAAGGAAAACAAAGTTGAACTCGTTCGAGTACTGTAAGACCAAATTGCATCTAAACGCAGGTAAATATCTGTTACGGGGTATACTCGGAACATTGACTTCTTTCCCATATTCAAACTCATTGTTCGCTGTGCAGTCCAGTCTATTCTTGATTTTCTAGTGAAAATGTGTACCATTAGCGTCTGTAGATATCTGCATTGCGATTCCTCCATCGTTTCACATCGTCTCGTCCCTCTCATCCGTGACCGCAAAAAAAGGAGATTCCCTCTGGCCCTTTCTGTGATCTGATTGAATCATATTCTGCTATCTGCGGCTTTTAAAAGCCCTCACCCCAACATGAAACTGTTCGATTATCGGATTGTACTTTTTGTAAATGCTCTTGTTGTCACGTCCGGTCCATCCGTGGGCTGATGGCAATCCTGCTGTACAGTTAAAATTCACCGGGCCTGACTAAGACTCACGGCTGTAAAAAGGTGTGGTTTGTCGCTTGGGTTAGCTGGGCAAGCGCCAGGTCCTTTGCTGCGGCTGAATCATACGACCGATCGATAAATTAACCCGATCGGTGTGATTTTCGGGCCGGACCAGGAGGAGGATAGGTTCCGTATTCGATGCTGCCTGAATGCAGATAGAGAATCAGCTGTGGAGCTGTGCGAAATCCGAAATGGAAAATGCACAAGCGATTATGACACTGGACCAGCGCTTGACTCGTCTAAGATACACGCACTATTTTTCGAAGCGGGTTCGTTAAACAGATAATCATGATAAACTTTGAACTTGTCTTAATAACGGATAACAATGTCCCCTAATGAATAGTGCACGGTGTAACAGACGGTGTTCTGGCATTCGTAGGACGTGCCCTAGCCACCAAAGACGATGCTGTGAAATTATTTTACTCAAAGGAAGACTATCTGATCCTAGCACTCGTTGTCTAACTTCATCGTTATTCACACGATGCTCCCCCCTCCATACACGGGCAATGTTGCGCAAACAACTATTGTCAAAGACTGATGGTCGCTGGACGTGATCTACTCTGAGAGGCCAGGTCGGTTGTCCCGGCCGAAGTAAAGAGTTTTCTTTGGGGGGAGGGGGCTACCCGGAGCCTTCGGTTAAAATGCCGCAGATCGCGAAATATTATCCAATCAGATCACAGAAAGGGTCAGAGGGAATTTACACCTCACAAACTTTCCTCAGACCCGGGTTACGACGACCTTCAACGGTGCTCCAGGACAGGTGGAAGTATCGTTCATTCATTCACTCAGGCGCGTCTGCAAGACGGCGGTTGTCGATCGGTCGGATCTGACATCTCACTCCACACACCTGCTTACCAGTCAATCACGATTATCGTTCACCCGTTTACACGTTGGTGTGACAGAGACCACCGATAGACCGAATGGCCATGGCTTTGATGACCACTGTAGGAAAAATTGGCCACATTTGAGTGCCCCACAGAATTGAAAAAACCTCCCAGGTTACAAAGATGTATTGTTTGCAAAATCATAAATCGTCCTGTTTCAGCTTCGCTCTTCTTCGGAAATCAACAAACGCGCTGTTTAAATCAATTGTACACTCCAAGAATCGACCAGAAATCCGAGCATTCGCCAAGGCGAACAGCTTCAATTAATTCAACAACTTCTGCGCTCCTTTGACTAAGATAACTTCCGACGCATTCACTGCCTCACATTCATCCCCTTCTTTGCGATGCTTGATTCGAAACGAATTCATCTAATGACTAGGAAAGACACTTAGTACAAAAATTTTAAATCACCCACTTTTTCATCATCGAATTCCAAACAAGCGACTGCTTCTTCTAAAAGTAGGTCATTAACAGACATAATGAGTGAAGTCCTCGATCAAATCGTATTTATCCTCTGATGGCTGGATCACCAGCTGAATCAATATGGATTTGAATCCAACTTTCATGAAAGCGTTGATCAGTGAGTGCGGATGCACAGGCAACCAAGCTTTCTTGACCAAATGCATGCCCATGAGGATGTCCACCTCAGCTTTATTGATAAGTTGCCCTCCTTCAATCAAAGACAAAACATATTCTAGTAAATACATCCGAAATGAACATTTGAAAGACCAAATCACACACTGATTCACTGGTTGTAACATTGAACAACAGTTCGGAGGCAGCTGTACCAATTTGATATTGGAGAATAAGGCGGCTTGTTTATGGCAAGGAACGTTGCCTTTGAGCCTTTGAGAGACGATTTTACGGTTGACATTCGACAGGCAACTGTGAAATAACGCAGAAGTCATTCATGCGTTTTTGAATAATTATAACTGCATGGAAGACTTTCTCTATACCTCGGAGGCATCATGGAGTTTGAAAATTCCCAACAATCAACGTTGTGATACAAAGCTGTTTCGTCTACATTAAAAATATCAGTCAGCATATCCACGTATCAACTGCGGTAACCCCGCTCGAAACTCGTCTACTGCGCCACGTGGTATCGCTAAAATTTCCTCACAAACCTGTAAAGTAATGCACATGAGTTGTCTGTCTCTTACTTTGTAGGATTGAATACTACACCTGTCTGACCAAGGGCGAAACCAACCGTTGAAAGCTTTGAAGTCATTATGATGCAATCTTCCTGCTAGCTGGATTGCCTTCTTACATACGATACTCTCCACCATTGGGAACTCTTCGTGCTTTTCCCTCAAAGCATTAAACCAAGCCAAAATTGCCTCATTCAATGCCTTGAACTTTTCGTTGGTTTCCAGGTGGCATCTTTACTCAGATGCTCCAGCCTTCAAAAATCCTCCGATTGTCGTTCGATGGGATATAACATTGTAAACAGTTTTTCGTGAAATTCCAAGTGATTTGGCTTCTCTCTGTATGATAGGCGCTTGCAGATTTTGACGTCAAATGGCACTGTCCCCGATTACTTACATCGGTATGACTTCCTCGCAAGGATTATCAAATCAGTGAAGAGTGCCATGAACAAGTCACACTAGGTGCAACGCCATTGGTTGAGTGCGACATTTCGGAGTGGATGGTCAATAGCTGTCCCGAACATCGGTCAACGACCTAATGAGTACGTACCAGGAACCGCGACATATGCGATACTGCATAATCAGAAACTAGATTATTACGCATACGGTTAGTTTGGGTTTTCGAAAAAGTAGGAAGATATTGGAAAATGAGAATTCTCAGGGGTGCGAACTTTACTTGTGGGATTGAGCCCGAAGTTCACCGAAGGCATTGGATCTCTCCGGAGTCAGTAATCCTAATGGATCAAAAGCGAAAGATCTCAATCTGCCAGGATCAGCAAAAGGACCAGTGTCGTCTGCAATGTCAACTCAGAAATAGTCTTAAGAAAGATCGTGAAAATTGGTGGGCCGAAATAACCAGTGAAATGAAGGTAGCTTCTGCATCAGGGATTATTATTTCACCTGATACGCAGCACCAGAGGTCATCGCATGCCGGTCAGTGAGATCATTTGCGATAAAAGTGGACAAAGCATCCACAATAAAGAACGACTTGATCGCTGGGCAGAGTATTTTAGAGAACAGTTCAATTGGCCTAGTGCTAATGTGGTCATTCCAGCAATTGCGGCGGAAACTCCATGGGTGGTAACATGCGGGCCCCCATCAGAATCGGAAGTACGAAGCTGCATTCAATCATTAAAGAAAGGGAAGGCTGCGGGACCTGATGGGCTTCTCCCTATTCTNGACTCAATTACTAGCTTAATTCGTAGCATTTGGACGGAGGAGCGTATCCCCTTGTCCTGGGGTGAATCGATGATCGTCCCTATTTTCAAGTAGGGGTCACGCGACAACTGCGCTAACCACCGTGGGATTAGTTTTATTCCGATAATCACAAAAGTGTTGATTTCTGTGATATTTCGCCGCCTGACACCCTTAAGGGAGTGGAATATCCGTGAACAACAAGCCGGATTCCGACCAGGTCGCGGGTGCATCGACCAAATCTTCACTCTGCGTCAAGTCCTCGAACAGCGTCACACA